GGCTGACCAGGCAGACACCCCACACTGGGGATCCAGCCCACAACCCGGGCATGTGCCCTTGACCGGAATCGAACCTGGGACCTTTCAGTCTGTAGGTCGATGCTCTGTCCACTGAGCCAACCGTCTAGGGCTACAGATATACTTTTTTTCTTTTTTTTTCAAATATGGAACGCTTCATGAATTTGTGTGTCATCCTTGTGCAGGGGGCACGCTAATCTCCTCTGTAAGCTGCCAAAGCGAGCACCAGATATACATTTTTATTGCATTTGCATAACTTAACAAGTTTATAAATTACTTATACAATAGTCATAGGTTCGCCATCACTGGTCTAGTTCTTTCCTTGCAAACCCTGTTCTAACAGGAAGACAGACGGTAGTGCAGTGAGAAGGGGATCAGCCAGTGTTCACGCAGCATCTGCTTATGCAGCCCTGGCTTTCACCTGTGAGCATGCAGCTAGCGAGAACCTGAGCTGAAGGAAGGACCAAGGAAGGCCTCCTGCCTTTCTTCTCTGGGTTCAAGGAAGTGCAGGCAGAGGCGGGGAGGGGCGGGCGAGCCGAATGCCTCCACGGCAGTGGGCCCTCCTCTCCCCTCCCCTCGCCCCTGCAGAAGCTGCTGTTCGAGCGGGGGAAGGAGTCCCTGGAGTCAGAGTTCCGCAGCCTGATGACTCGGCACAGTAAGGTGGTCTCCCCGGTGCTCATCCTGGATCTGATCGGTGGGGAGGAGGAGCTGGAGATCCAGGAGGAGGTGCCCCTGGAGCACCTGCCAGAGGGCGTGCTCCTGGACGTGATCCGCATCTCCCGCTGGCTGGTGGAGTTCGGCCACAACCAAGGTGAGGGGCCCGCCAGGGGCAACAGCAGGGCAGGCCCAGGGGGAGGGGCAGTTTTTTTTTTTTAATAAAAAGTTTAGCCATGGCCGGGTTGCTCAGTGGGTTGGAGTGTCATCTCGTACACCAAAAGGTTGTGGGGTCGATTCCCAGCCAGAGCACATACCTAGGTAGCGGATTCAATCCCCAGTCGGTGCGTACAGGAGGCAACTAATCAATGTTTCTCTCTCACGTCTATGCTTCTCTCTCTCAAATCGATAAGAATTAATAAAATCCTTTTGTGATGGCTAAAGATAATAGTGTTTTTTTCATTCCCTGACCTTTGTTGTCTCTGTGCCTCCTCTAAATTACTCACATCCTTTGACTCCTTACCTAATCTTTATATTTCTTATCTGAAAATACTTAGCTTCAGAACTTAAAAAAACTCGTCAGTTCTATTGGGGGATACTTCCCCTTTAAAGACTTTGCCTGATTCGGGGCCAGGCCCCATGGGTGGCTGCTGGGTGGCTGCGCGCCCGAGGAGGTGCTAGGAGGGGTTAGCAAATAGAAATAGTGGGCGCACTGCCGCCCCGCGGAGCTGGTCTAGAGGGGAAAGGCCGGACCGGCTGCCGCAGGCCCATCGCCGCCTCTCTCCTCAGATTTCATGAACGTCTACTACCAGATCCGCTCCAGCCAGCTGGACCGCTCCATCAAGGGCCTGAGGGAGCACTTCCGGAAGAACAGTTCCGCCTCTGGGGTCCCCTACTCCCCTGCCATCCCCAACAAGAGGAAAGAGACGCCCACCAAGAAGCCCATCAAGCGGCCCGGTGAGCCCCCACCCCGGCCCTTTAAGCACCAGCCAGAAGGCGGTGGGACCTGCGTGGCTTTGGGCCACCCTGGGGTTAGCGGCGTCGGCCCCTCCAGCTGCAGGCAGGCAGGACAGAAAGCCAGTGTCTGCCCCCCAGCCAGGCCCCCCCGGGGGTCTCTTCCTGCTGCTCAGCAGGGCCTGGGGGCTGCATCCGTGTCTTCGGAGGAGGGAGGGGCGTCAGAGATGTGGAGAGGCAGGGGAATGGGGTGCAGCCAGGGCAGAGCCCCTTGCTGGGCCCCTGCTCCTCCCCTGTTGTCCCGCCAGGAGGCCAGGCTGCGACAGCCAAGCTCGGGCGGCCTTCACCTCCCAGCGAGCCAGGGCGGCTAGAAGGGGCGCATGGCTGAGAAGTGGGGGGCAGACTTCATACTTTCACAGTCGGCCCTCGCGGGGGAAGCGCACCCGGCTTTCAGGCCGCACTGCAAGTTCGCGCCTTGTGGTGGCCGTAGGGGGAGGGTGCTGAGGGCGAGAGGCCTGGGCCGTGGGTGGTGTCCTGGGTGAACAGCTCACATCCTGTCCCTGCATCGTGTCCCCACAGTCTGTGCAAGTAAAGTGTCCCGTGTGCACCCACAGCTTGGCAGGCCTGGGTTCAAGCTGCAGGCGCTGCCCCAGGGGTGGCCTGCGGGACCCGCCCCCGGGAGAGGCTGGGTGTAGAGCTCCCCCCTTCCTTTGTCCGGCCCTGCCTGCCGTGCCCCTCTGAGGGTGTCTGTTCGCACTCCTTAGGGTTTGGAAATGTGGCAGAGCAGACGCTGCCCTGGGGGCACAGCCAGGTGAGCGTTAGGGAAGCTGGGGGGCCTGGAAGGAAGGCACTGCCTTCTCCCCTCCAGTGTGGGTGCCCCGGCCACTCCTCCAGAAAATCCGTGACTCCACTAGGCCCGCGGGCTTGGCCGAGGCTGCGCTGCTGCAGGCGGGCCGCCCGTCCTCTGTGCCTGTGTGCTGAGCAGGGGTGTGTCTGGGAGGCCGCCTGGGCCAGCGGTCTGTGCTCGGCTCCCGTCCGTCTCTTCTCTGACGGCCCCGGGAGGCCCTGGGATCCGATGTGCTCTGCCCTGGGGTGCTGGCCGGCCATGCAGGGACAGGACCTTCCGGGAGGAGGGCTCACCGTGGACTGAATTCCTCCTTGGCTTGTAGACCCAAGAGGGAAACTAGCTGGGAGGTCCCATGCTCCTGTGGGGGGTTGTCCGGAGCTGGAGGGCTCAGGACTGGTGTCGGGACTAGGGAACCGGGCCTGGGACGTCAGTTCTGGCGGGGCTGGGGAGGTGGGGGCAGGGAGAAGGTAGGTGGCCATGAAGTGCCAGCCTCAGCGCTGTCCATGGCAGTTGGGTGCCTGATGGTCTTGGCAGCTGCCAACATGCAGCCCCGCTTCACACCCATGCCCTGTGCGGGCTGGGCTCCCGCTCGGCTGCGGGGCGGAATCGGAGGTGCTCCTTAGCGCCGCTCACTGCACAGGGAGACAGATGCGGAGCCGGGGCCGCGTGTTATTAGCGGCTAATGGTGGCGTGGTGCGAACAGGACAAAATGAGCCCCGGGCCTTCACCCGCGCTCCTGGGCGCGAGGCGGGGCGGGCTGCGGCTCAGGGCGGAGGCCCGTGCAGGCAGCGCTCGCTGTGTGAGGTGCTGGTTTATTTCCCACATGCTCTGCCCTGCGGTGTCTCGTTCCGAGTGGCTGACCCGCGGCTGCGGATGCTGCAGTTTGTTTTGTTGTTTTGACTTGTGACACTAACTGTTGTTTCCCCCGTGCCAAGAGCATGCGCCCTTTCCTACTGGCCTCCCGGCTCTGTGAGGCTCTGTTAGCCCCTCTCGCCCTTGAGCTTTTGCAGTCGCTTTGGTGGTTCGGGTAACCTCAGTGTGTGGGCCAGGCTGCCCCCGGGCCTCCAGCCTTCCTCCTGGCACTGCCCTCCCGGGGGGCTCCTTCCCGTCTCACCAGCTCCCATGCTGCTTTCTGACTGCGGTTTGGCTACTTGCCAACACTGAGCATGCCCAGAGAGCTGTGCCTGGCGCTCCGCGGGGCGCAGGCCTCCCAGCCTCCAGGTGCCCGCGCTCTGTCCTGGGTCGTAACTCCGGGTGTGAGAGCCCAAGCCTGTTTGGATTTCGGGAGTTCTTTTTCCTGGGGCTCCTCTTGGTGGACCTTTGCCCGCCTCCACGCACCCTCCTTCACCCTCCACGCACCCTCCAATGAGCTCAGGCCAGAACAGAGGGTCAGCAGCAGGATAGGAGGCCCCCGGGAATGTGTCCACCCCTTCGTCTCCATCTGCGGGGTCCCCGGCGGCCTGGGGAAGGTCTGCTGGGGGAGGCGGGACTGGGCGTGCTCACTGTCGGGAGGGCCGGGCGTGGGCTGGGCGTGGAGGGCCGCTGCTGTTTTCTCTCACTCGTTTCCCAGGTCTTCTTATCTCCTCTCTGTGTGGCTCTGGTGACAGGGACGATCCGTAAGGCTCAGAACCTTCTGAAACAGTATTCCCAGCATGGTCTAGATGGGAAAAAGGGGGGCTCTAACCTCATTCCTCTGGAAGGTAATCACCCCGTGTTCCTCTCCCGTTCCCTCCTCCTCCGTCGTGTGTTCACTCCCGCGGCAGGGCAGAGCCTCCAGCCCCAGGAGGGCCTCGGGGGGAACCCTGAGAGGGGACGGGTGGGGCTGCCCGTCCCTGTGCCACTCGCTCCAGCTGGCACAGGGACAGGTTTTGTGGCCTTGGCCTGGTCCTGTCTGGCTGATGGCAGCTCTGCCCTCCCTGGGGCTCCCCTCCCCACCCCTCCCTGTCTCTGTCCTTGTCTCCTGTTTGAACTCAGAGAGAGTTCTTGGCCGTGGGCAGCCCTTTCATGCTGAGATCAGCGGTGGCAGGACCAAGCTGGCCTAGGCCTCCTGGTCACCCCAACTTTATGAGGGGGGAGGGGGTGCAGCAAGGGGACAGGCAGCAGGTCGGCACATCCCTTTCTCGTGTCAGGAGAATTCTGATGGGGATGTTATATAGCAGCGGTCATCAACTGGTGGTCCATGGACCACTGGTGATCTTTGAGGTCCTAAAGATTGGCAACCACTGGTTTAAGGAAACCTTTGGAGCAGTGGTCGCCAACCGGTGGTCTGTGGACCACTCGCGGCAGGTCTGAAAGGTTGGCAACTACTGTTATATAGTGTATAGTGTCAGCACCTTAATTATTTTTTAAAAAAATGTTTTTATTGCTTCTAGAGAGAGGGGGAGAGGGTGAGAGAGAAACATCGATCAGCTGCCCCCTGCACGCCCCCTACTGGGGATGTGCCCCCAACGAAGGTACATGCCCTTGACTGGAATCCAACCTGGGACCCTTGAGTCCGCAGGCCAACGCTCTATCCACTGAGCCAAACCAGTCAGGGCAACAATATAAATTTAACATTTGATTTTTACAAATGCATTTGGGGTTTTCTTATTGTGGTAAAAAGTACATAATATAAAACTTGTCAATCTCACTATTTTTATTAAAAATTTATTTTTATATTACCGTTGACATGCAGTCTTATTAGTTTCAGGTGTAGTGATTAGACATTTATGTACCTTATGAAGTGATCCCTCTTATAAGTCTAGTACCTGCTTGACACCACACGTAGTTATTACGATATGTTGATTGTATTCCCTGTGCTGTATTTTACATCCCTGTGACTGAATAAACACCAATTTCTACTTGGTAACCCCTAACCTTTTCCCTCTATCCCTCCAACTCCCCTCCCATCTGGCGACCACCAATTTGTTCTCTGCACCTGAGCGTTTATTTCTGTTTCGTTTGTTTGTTTATTTTGTTTTTTAGATCCCACATATAAGTGAAACCATGGGGTATTTGTCTTTCTTTGTCTGATGTATTTCATGATTTTGTATGAACATGTTTCCAATTCTCTTATATGTTCTGGATACCTGTCCTTTATCAGATATATGATTTGCAAATAATTTCATTCTGTGGGTTTTTTTTGATGGTATCATTTACAGCACAAAAGCTTTTAATGTGACAGTTCAGTTGATCTAGTTCAGTGATGGCGAACCTTTTGAGCTCAGCGTGTCAGCATTTAGTAAAACCCTAACTTAACTCCGGTGCCGTGTCACATATAGAAATGTTTTGACATTTGCATAAATT